TAAACCGTGAACCCTAGCCCTAAACCCTAAACCCTGATCTGAGGGTGGCAGTTGTTGGGCGGTTTCATCTCATTACCTCTGCAGATGCACCGGATCTCGCGACCTGAGCTGAGGTTCAAAATGCACAAGCCAAGATCTTGATCGCCTTTCAATGCATATTCGGGGCTTCTGCGAATTGTACAGGGTTTTTGGGCCAGAAGATCGGCTGGGCTCAAGGTGCCCCGATAGTGCGGTTTCGGGCTAAGGTCCACGCTTTCAGTCGGAGTCGCAGCAGAAGTCGCGCCGGAAGTGCCTGGCAACGAAGGGCTTGGCAGGACCTGCGGGGAACTCGGAGGTTTGAGGGGCTCTGGATGCCTTAATTAGGGGGTTTCGGGTTGAGGGTTTGTAGGGTTTTCGGGTTTAGGGTTAGGGCCTTAGGACGCCTAAGAGGGCCGTCAGAAAGACAGCAGCCGCGGAGAGCTGCAATGCTCACGTGTCATGTCTAGGAACTGTAGCAACATTCTAGCAACTGATTGCAACTGCTGGATTGTGTGCCCCTGAAACAAACAACAGGGGCCTGCACAGCTTCCGGGTCATCTTTCGATCCCTCTGGCGCTGCTCGGCCGTGCGCTTCTCAGGCCTTCAGAACAGAGAGTCTTTAGGGTTTAGGGTTTGGGGATTAGGTTTTCAAGGTCCCCTGTACTTGGCGCAGCAACTTTTCGCTAGGGGCAGCCTTTGTGACTCTGATGTCAAGGACTGGCCAAAAAAAACGTGCTGAAGCTGTACTGAGCAAGTCTTCATGATTCAAACCACTGCGCCGGGGGGCCTGGGGCCGAAGAACCACTCCTCGAGGGACAGCGCCTCTCTGAAAGCTATGAACTTTGATGGAATGAGCCATTCTAGTCCAAGGCTCCGCAGACAATGGGGAACGTGGACTACGGCAGCTATTTAGTCAAGGATGCCAGCTTAGTTCCTTGCTTCATGCTGCTCAGCTAATGTGGGCAAGCCCATGTACGACGTGGAGGCGCGCGGATGGTACAGCACAGCACGGAGAATTACAGGCTACTCCACAGGAAGCTCTTAAACATGTTTAGATGATTCTAGCAAACAGGCCACCCCACCGCGCCTACTTCTGAGGGCGGAGGCAAAACTGGAAAGCGCAAACACCTCAAAGTGACCCAGAGTGTGGCAAGTGCCTGGTGACACCCGAGAAGCACCTAGAAGCCCTCACAAAGACCTGGGGGGCTCGGTGTGGCAATGTTTGGCTGGCGCTTTGATCGGAAGTCAAACCGAGCACGTTCCAGCTTGGTCCGAGAAGCCGCGCCCCCCCCCCCCCCCCAGCTCCACCGTCGTGGACGTGGGTGACAAGCTCATGAGGCCGCAGGACTTTTGCGCAGAAACACGCCGCAATGGGAGCTGAAAAGGGTACTTTTGCCAGCGCTGGCGAGCAGGGTGTTTGAGAACACCTTTTCAACCCATAAACCCTAACACCGCAGCGCCCAAAACTCGAACCCAACAGCCTAAACATCCTTTGTTTGATTTTGGGCATGAATCCCACCAAAAAATAACAAGGTGAACCTTTCGAACCCAACAGCCTAAACATGATTAAGCAAAACACTCGCCCGAAACCTGGAAGAAGCGACAGAGCCCCAGTGACACTTCTTGCCCAACCACGCTAAAAAAAACCCTGGACGTTAGGATCTCCACTCCGCTTCCGCTCTATTCACTTCCACTTTGGATTTGGGTTTAGGGAACGTATAAGCCCTGTGAGCCCTCAACGCTGCATTGCCCTCGACCCTCTCCTGACCTTCTTCGGTACGGCGCGACTTGGCCCGGAGCGCCTTGGATGCTGGCAGCACTCGGGATTTCATGGGGCTTCGACTTCCAGAGGTGTTGGGGGCGTGTAGAGGGTGCAGCGTGAGGGCCGTTAAGGCTTTGTTGGGCAGGGTTTCGGATAGGGCGTGATTGTGTCGTTGCAGCAGGGATTTTAGAGGCTTCGAGATAGGTTTTCGGGGTGCGAACTTTGAAGTTGGGCTTAAGTTTAGGGTTGGGCCCTATAGTACGGGTTTCCGAAAGTGGGGGTACCCTCGTTGGTTGGGGTGATTTGGGGGTTGAATATGTGTGGCGCATCTTTGTTTTTGGGAATTCCCCACCGATAGGGCTTGAAGGATTGAGCGTGCGTCGGTAAGCCGAACTACAGGTTCGAAGGGAGTTTGCCGAGGGTTCAAACTTGTAGAATGTTGGCGGGCCGGCGGACATCCCATCAACCCATAAAGAAGTGGCAACGCAGAACACGCGATTCTTTGCAAGAAGCCGGCTCATTGGTAAAAAAGAAGTGACATCAACATCTAGGGGTTTTAGAGTTTAGGGTTTATAGGGTTTAGGGATTTAGGGATTTAGGGATTTAGGGATTTAGGGATTTAGGGTTTAGGGTTTAGGGATTTAGGGCTTTAGGGATTTAGGGATTTAGGCTTTAGGGTTCATGCCCCCCCCGCCTCCCAGCAGCTGTTGCGTGCTGCAGGCCTTTGCATGGCACCGGCTGCTGCAGCAACCTGGGGAACCGGCTCACAAAGAGTTCCATTCGCCTTTAGGGTTTCTAGGGCTTATGGGGCTTATAAGGTTTTTTTGCCAGCCGCCTAGCTGACTCAGAGAGACTCCGGCTAGCTGACTCAGGGTTTAGGGGTTTAGGGTTTCGGGTTAGACTTCCACGGCAACCATGCTCAAACTCTCGGCAAATCATCGAGGATGGCCCTTAAAACCCTCTGAAAAAGATTCCTGAATAGGATCCTCGTAAACCCAAGAAAGGGAAAATATCAAATGACCCACCGAGACATACCCCAAAGCTCATCAGCAAACCAACCGCACTGGGAACTTCAGCTGAACAACCACGCAAGCCCGGATGAAGCTCGAGCTGAGATCCTGGCGCATAGACAGGCACCTGCTCTATCAGAGAATAGTTCTGATTTTGCTGATCGCACCGGGCACCATCGCGAGATCGACAAAACACACTATCAGCAACAGCCAGCAACTACTGGCTGCCCATCGATTGACGAATCTATTCACCCCCACGGGCATTGGGATCAAGACTCGCGCTTGCCCTTGGAATTCTGCCTCGACCTGCTGCACCAAATAGCTCACCCCAGTCCTGCAAGTTTGGAAGTTTTTTCGCGGTTGGGTTTGGGAACTTGGGATCTGGGTTCTCAAGTTGAGTTTACAGAATACGACCGAGAAAAACGCAGCCAAACACCTAAGCATCCACCAAGCATTGCACGACTTGATGGTGCGTCGCAACCCCCAAGCTGCCCCTGAATCTACACAGACCTCGGGAAGGCAAGGTACCGGCGGGACCTAAAGTGTAGAGAGTCAATCAAAGCTGCCCGGCCATTACTGTAGCTTACACAATTTACCATCAGCAAGTAGGACGTTTTGACATTTTCCGACAGCCCACCATCGGGTTTGGTTTCTTAGACACACTGCTGATGGCTTGACTGAGAACTTGAAGATGCTCCACTTGAACCACCCCAACATGTGTCCGCAAAGGTGGCCTTGCAAACATAACACCCTCGACCCTCGACCCCGCCATTCCATCACCCCTGTGGCACAGGCTAGTGGCACCTTGTCGCGGTAGCAGGGTAGGCCTTTCATTGCTGTCATCATGAGAGGGTCTCAGAACTGATGCAAAGTACCTTTCGTTCCATATTGTATAACCGTAGTCGGCGGCTACTGTTTCTACTTCCCATTTTTTGTTAGGCAGGCCCAGCCCCTGAGCTCAAGCTGCATGGCTCTTGCGACCTGCACATGTGTGTCTGAGGCCTGGAAGACAGCCCCGCTTGGAGTAGCCAAGGAAGGGAACCACACCGGCGCGTAGAACTGGGAAGACCTGAGTGGGCAAAAATGAAGAATACACCAAGGCCGTAAAGCCGAACATACCTGTGGATGGTAGCTCGTATAGTCTTCCTGGAGAAGTGAAGCTTGTTGCCAAATGAAGCTTGGGTAGGGTCAGGGTAGGGTCACATTGGCTCTGTGAAAGTGGCCCAGAGGGGCGTGAAAGTGGGGCGGAAGGAGATCAGTTCTTCGAGATGCTTCTTATTCTTGGCAGGCCGGGGGCGGAGACGAATAAGTTAGAAGATGCTATAAGTGTTCGGTTTGATTCAGGTCATCAGGTCAAGTGGAGTCAAAACACTTGATGACTTGAAAACTCTAGATCTTCTTTGGGCTCTGCGCAAGAGAGATACAAATGCCCAAGCAAGCCCTTGCAAGCCCTTGCAAGCCCTCGAAGTCCGACCAAAAGAGACACTTCTTCCATCTTCTTCCAAGATCCTGGAGCAGCACGAGTCTACCCGTCGGGGACTCCAGCGCTGCTCGTTTATTTAGGCACCCGCCAACCAGTCGGGGCCATAGCTGGGTCCATTTCGGCTCAAGGCTGAATACAAGCTTTAGCTTGTACTTTGGGCAGGATGCTGCGCGCAAAGTCAGCTCAAAGCAGGCCAGAGCGATTCTCTGTATCGCACACTGCCTGAAGCCTAGGCTGACAACGAACATGTTGTTGCCGCCCTCTTGAAGTCGCAAGCCTGCTGTGTCAAACGGGGACTCTTTAAAAAAGTTCGTTTTTCATAGTGCGGGGAATGTAGGTATGTGTGCGCGCATGCTGCGTGCCGCGTGCCGCGTGCTGCGTGCTGCGTGCTCCCTCTGTGTTATCCCTTTGTTTTTGTATCTTTTTGTTTTTGCTGTTTTGTGTGTGTGTGCTTGGATTTACCATGAGCGTGAACTGCCGTTCCTGATTTTCTGCGACTCACACCCGGGTAGCCCGTGGAGCTGGATCGTCGAAAAAAGACGGAGCCCGCTTGCCAAACAGCCTTGTGCCGGCCAGCCGGACGATACCTATCACAAATCGAGATCAACTCAGTCACCGAAGCATCATTACCATGCCCAGGTACTGCCACTGCAGCTGTACAACCACCATCGCCAACTCTCGTAGCACATTGGTGTGAAACATACATATATAGAAGCTGTACATATAGCTAATTCATGACCCAGCTTCCTTGTCTGTCCAGACCTTTACGTGCTGCATCTGCCAGCAGACCCATGAAATCGAATCCCCGATGGCAGGATTCTATCAAGCCTTCGGTCCCGAAGATAAAATCTCGCAGCTCAGCGTTGAACTTGTCCTTGTCTTGAATCTGAGACAGAATGTACTGGGTATCTTCTTCGCTGGATGCTTGCATCTCCTCCACTTTCAGTTGGTGTAGCCAAGCCTTGTGCCTTTCAAGGTTCTCTCTTGAGAAGATGATCATACCCTGCTGCATCCCGAGACTCTTCGCCTCATGAATTTCCGCCACACACCTTGGCTGCACTTAGGAGGGTAGCAAAAAATTGTGAACTTCTAGCCGCCTTATTAAGAAACCCAAGAACCCCAAAAAGGCCAAGACACCAGGTGCGTTGGAAGAGGTGGAACTCGGTGTCCACGGCGATGACGTGCTGACAGCAGGGGTTCAATGCCTGCATGCACCGCATCATGTCATCGAACTTGTTCATCTCTCCCTGTGGCTCCCTGCGACCGGTGTACCTTACTTCTCCAATAACCAAGGGAACAAAGAGGTTAAACTTTATTCCTACTAAATAAGGAAGCCCAAGAAGTTTAGAGTCCCACTAAGGTACTTTGCGTGCTGGCAGGTGCAGGCGATCGGAAGCAGGCCCGTGACGGGATCCGGCCGCTCGGAGGGGTGCACGGTGTGGCACATGCCAGCATGCCTTAGTAGCCCACGTAATCATACTACAATATCTACTCTAATAGTCACCATACTATTTACTATAATAAGTAATAAGGGTACCCTTTTTGGGGTTGGTCACTTTGCAAGGGAACCTTAAACCAAAAAAAGGGGGAAAAGGGGCACCACTGGGCTGCAAAGATGCTGGTTCACGGAGAAGCAGCAGATCCAGTAGGCCAGCCCAAGCTTGTTCTTCAGCAGCAGCTCCTCCCTCAAAGCCTCGAGCTCCCGGCCTTCCAACCTGCACACACAACTCTGCACACAAACTGCGGGCGCAGCTCCTTATAAACTCTGAATCACACACAACGCTCGAAGAGGTACCCCCCTCGTTTTTTTCTCTCCAAGGGCCACCTCTTTTGTTGTTTATTGCATCTCTCTCTCTCTCTCTCTTCCTTCCTTCCTTCCTTCCTTCCTTCCTTCCTTCCTTCCGCAGCACTTGACCCTCCCGAAGGAAGGCCGCCCTAATGGGCGTGCTCTACCGAGTCAGTCGGTGTGACATGTGTGAAAAGCATGTCTCTCTCTCTCTCTCTCTCTTTCTCTCTCTCTCGCACTCTCTAGAAGGTGAGGATAAGGCAGAGTCTGAGGCGCAGGCCTTGGAATCACAGACTCGAAGCTCGGCAGTTCCATGGCGTCCGCCACGACCGCGGCCACGAGGTGCGCGAAGTAGTTGGACCAGCTGTGGGTGACCATCCTTAGAAGGCTAATTGGCATGTTCAACCGCTTATACTAACAGCTCCTTAGTACCTTAGTAGAATCCCTACTAAGGACTGTTAGTGTAAGGGGGAACATCCCAACTTGTGGCAGATTCTCGGGGGAGGGGTGGGGGTTCTTCCAGACAGGCGTCCTTCAGTCCTTCAGAGAAGGGAACCAAAAAGCAAAAAAAACGACAGAAGCTGGCAACCTCCCCCCCCCCCAAAAAAAAAGACATAGAAATATAAATAAATAAATAAATTAATATATATATATATAGATATATATATATATAATAACAAAGAAACACAAGAAAGAAAACCCTGTTCTAAAGACCCCTTCTTTTCCAAGCTGCCGATCGGGCCGCCGGGCTTGGCCTTCCAGCCGAATCCTCGAACTCAAAGTGTGCAACAGCGCCAGATTTAAATCAACTCCTTATAAGCGTCTTAAGTTTAAGTGAGCTCGCATCCGTGTGTGGAAGCCCTCTTCCCCCGACCGTTTCTTCACTTTGGAAGAGTTTGCGAAATGCCCCAACTGCCGAGTGGCGCTGCAGCACAGCCGTCTTTCGCAGTCATGGGCAGAATGACCTGCCGCACCTTTGGAGGGGGGGGGGGGGGGGGGGGGGGGGGTCGATCTCCGAATTCATTTACTTGCTGCTGGTTTGTAGGGACTGAAGGAATTGGGGCCCTATATCTTCCCTTTAAGGCATTATGTAGGGTACCTCATTCCCCCATTCCCTGCTAACTCATAGTAAGCTTCGAAGACTCTAAGCACCCTGCCACTTCGGCACTGCTGTGCTCTGAAGCTCTGAAGTGCGGCATCGTCTCCTCTGGGCTTCTCAAAGCTGGCTCTCAACAGAGAGGTGGAGGTTGGGGGGGGGGGGGGGGGGGGGGGGGCAATAATTGAGAGCCCCTTTTTCAAAATGGGACAGCATCTGTTGAGGAGTCTCTGTTCTTTGCTGAGCTCTGACGCTTCTTGTTCAAAAAATCTGGAAGCCTTTTCAATACTTGACTGGTTCCAGCGATGGGAGTACCACACAAAACCGAACCTGAAACCTTAAAATCCCCGCAGGGTCTCCGACAGTTGGCCGTAGAACTTCAGAAGCGAGCGCAGGGTGATGCCACGAAGTGCCAGCTCCTTCCGATGTGACATGAAACTGGCTTCGCATGATGGGCTGCGCGGATCCCAGGCCCCCCTTTTCGAAGGTGTGTTTACCCGCCTTCTTTGCAACATATGTTATATATACAATAGAAACATGTATATATATATATATACATATTTTTTACATACTACGTTTTTAGTTAGGGTGGAGGAACCAGAGCTTCAATGTGACCCATAGCAGCCACAGTCACGCGGTTCCCGTGACACATTGTGCAGCCCCTTGTCATCACCTACGGCTCTCGGCGCTGGAAGCTATGCTTGGACAACTTGTATGTGCTTCGGGGGGACAGGGTTAGGGGGAAAATTCTGGCTGCCTGCGTCTTCTTGTCCCACTCGTCATCACCTGTTCCGGCCCAGTGTCGTTGTGGTCCGTGATGGTCCCCAAGGATCGTGCAGGATCCGGGTGATGACTGAAATTCTGCCAGGGAGAGCAGCGAGCTGAAACGCGCGCAGTTCGTCAGCGACAGCGACTCGATCACCAGAAACATGCGCTGCAGGAGTGCGACTGTTTGGTCGTCCGAGGGAAGCACGTGGCAATACAAGAGCCATAGCACATGGCTGGCAAAGGCCATGGCTACCAGAGCCAAGTTGAAAGGTGTTTCCCATCTGATCCGCCGTGAGAACTCGACAGCCTTTGATGCAAGCTTCTGTTCAACCGGCGATCCAGATGCTGTGGCCTCACGAGCATAGCTGTGGGCTAGAAAAAATGCACGGGTCATCACGATACCCACAACGATGGAGGAGAGGACAATAGAGGATTCCAGCAATAGCACGGCCACAAGAGGTATGGAATGGTCGCTGACGGTCACAACCCCTTCTGGAGACGGGTGGTGTCCTCGAAACTCCTGGTATGACAGGTATGACACCCAGCTAAAAAGGATGGTTGCTGCAATCGCTGCGAGCAGGAAGAGCCAGAACAGGATGTCCAAACAGCCGGTGCCAATGTGATGCTTCCGCGTGTGCGAGAAGGCTTCTCTTAACATTGGGAGGTGAGCTTTGATGATTGTGTACCCCATAAGCTTATTCCACCAGAACATGATCTGGCCGACCGCTGCGGCAATGGTCGTTGCAGCTGTTGCGGCCTCATCGTAGTGGCCACAAGCACAGGGCTCATGGCAAGCTACGTAGTGGAAGAGCCAGACGTTCACAGCATCCAGCACCATGTGCCATCGCATCTTTGACAGGAAGGGCCCCCGAAGCCACCACTTCAACTGTGAGGAGATCACGAGGAAGAGACAAAAACAGGACATCAAGCCCGTGAGGGCGGATGCCCAACCCATCTCCGCGCCGCAAGAGCCGCCAGCAATCGCGAGAAAAGCCAGGAGTACGAGGAAGGCGATGCGACTTCGGGCCCGAGCCCGGACCCCTGACCAAGTTGAATTCTCCACGGGTGCCACAGCTGCCACAGCCGGAATCACTGGGACCACATCTGCAAAGGAACTCGAGCAGCGAAACGCTTCACCAGCAGGCGACATTTCAGGTCTAAAGCCGCCCATCACTGCATTCCACGATCTCGCATCGCTCAATTAGCCCAGTTGTGCGGGTTTGCCCAAGCACTGAGAATCGGTTTGCAATGCTTGCTGATAGGAACATTGGGGTGACTCGTAGTTGATGGTCTGCATTTAAGAAACTTGAGGCTTGTACGGGCCGCCTCAGGAACTGAGAGCCTTGAGAGACGTGGACATCGGTGTCAAGAGTGCGGAGCACACTGCTTTGCCAGAGAGAAGCGCCGTCTCTGTCTATCCCTCTCTCTCTCAGGCCCCTGTGCTCTCCTGTTCACACTCTCCTCTTCTTCTTCTGCTGGGCCTAGGGGCCCCAAGGACCCCTGCTCGCGTGCGTGCCTCTCTCTCTTTCTCTCCCTCTCTCTCTCTCTCTCTGAAAAAGCGCCCCCCCCCCCCGAGAAGAGAACCTGCTGAACACTACACAAGCAGTGAAGAAAGCACATACAACCTCTTTCAAGCATCTCCTCAGAGACTCGTAGGCAGCACGTGTGGCGTTACCGGCACCTCATTATCGTACCGATGAGGCATCAGAAACCCTTCCCCGTGCCCACCACACAGGATCACAGAGGGCTCAAAGGGACCCATGACTCCTACAACAGGCGGTCTACGCGCCAGGGTGTGACATATGTAGCCGGAGTCCCATGGCACAATGCACGGAGAACCGTCGAGCATTGCTTTATGCAAGTCCGGGCAGCTTGTATAAGTGGATCTTAGAACATGCAAATCCGCGCAAGCAGTTGCCTGTGAACGGTGACAACCCCCGCCCCCCCCCCCCCCCCCCCCCCCAGAATAAATGGCTTTTGATTTTGCCAAGAAAAGCAGGATGGTTTTTTGAGACTTGATGCCCACGATCATTCTACCTCCGAAGCTCTGCAAGCCCTGAGGCCCTTACTGCCGCTTGGAAGATGTCATGTCCCGGCTCCCAATTTCCCTGCACTGGTGAAAACGAGGGGGATTCCCTTGGAAGACCATGTCTCCCCTCTCAAGAATGTGCAGGACTCCAACGGCCCTCGGCACAGCGACCCACTCCAGCCTGAGAGGATGCCCCTGTCGCAAAGATTTCAGAGGACAGAACCTAAGATCTCACACCGGATGCGAAAACAGAATTGATGTTTCTGTGCCGTCTGAAGAGTTCGATGTCACACTGCACCTTCTTCAGCGAGCCAACGAAGTAGTTAAACACCACCAAATTTCTCTCCGTGCCTGCCAGACAGCCCCTTGCATATGTCGGCTGGAGACGCAGGCCGACCACGCCAGACGTAACGCTCCGAATCGGCCGGAAACGAGGTGAACTGTCAACCCTTGCAAAGGGTGGATGGTAGCGAACCGTTCTCTTGCAACTTAGAAAGTACCCAAGTTTCCGAAGTTATGGAGTTTATGAGCCCCGTGCTGCAAACCACAACTTGTAAGTCCGCGTAGTGGGCGTGGAGCAGGGCCTTCCCGGCAACAACGCATCCAAGTTGGTCCAACAAAAAGTCTCCTTATACTGGCAGTGTGCATTCTCCCGACACGTGACTGCAGCTGCCGCAAGATCGGGATTCCTCAAAGGCTGCTTTCTCATCCATTTTGCCACATTATCATTTTCGTGCATCACGTTACGAAACGACCCTCAGACCTGTGCAGATGGAGGCAGCCTACGTACCAGCTCTCCCCCTCCCCCCCTTTTTCGTTCGACTCAGCGTCTCTGTCTCGCGAAGGAGAGCAGCCCGAGCCAACGCACAAAAGTGGCGTCAGGGTTGCCCCGGGTTTCAGGCAGGTTCAGAGTAGCACGCATAGGGAGTTTTTTTCGGACCCTCAGTCTATTGGAACCTACCTTTGTCATGAGGCTGCGGTGCTTAAAAAAACATCCGTAGGGCTGCTTGGAGTGTGCATATGCTCCCAAGCCTTGTGAGATTGGCTACGGGAGTCGACCAAAGCTTCGCAGATTCCTCCGAGAGCTCTATTCGAAACTAGTTGGGTGGGTGGGGGGGGGGTACTCCTGCGGCGAGGGTTACTAGCATGGTCTTCTTGGGGGGCTCAACTTCGGGGCAATTCTTCCCAGGTGGGTTCATGTAGGGCCACTTAACCTCCTAAACCCTAAACCCTAAACCACTTCGTGATGTGTGTGGGGGAACTCCAAGGCTTGCCGACTCCCATTGCCAGCATGCAGCTTGTGGCAGTTTATTTTTTTTTTGCAGTTCTTCTCAGTCTGGTTCCCCGCTTCGAAGCAGGGTTTAGGGTTTAGGGTTTAAACACACACCATAGAAACCGTCCACAGATGGTCCCAGCACTGCCACACCGGCGACACCAGCCAGACGCTGAGATCAACTTCAAACAATCATCATGCCCGAAAACTCGACAGCATAGAAACTTCAACTAGCGTACTGCGACGTACTGCGTGCTTGCATCTGGTGGCAACACGTCAGATTCAAGGGGCGTGACCTTACCATCCTGCGCGACCCCCTATTGCGCTGTAGTCGAACTTGAAGAATAGCCTACATTCTTCCTGCAAGGGCAAGAACCGCCACTTGGCACTCATGCTTGTCCAAATTTGAACAGCATGCCGGTGCCACTTAAAATCGCTTACGTACTTAAAAAGGCAAACCTTGCCCAGCATACAAAATGAAGGGCTGGATATCGCTTGTGCTCATGTGCCGATGGCCTGTCCACTTCGCTAATTCCGGGGCCCGAACCTTAAGGGTGCAAGACTTTTCGGGCCGAGCGTCCAACTGCCTTGCGATTCTCCGTCTTGCTCTGTTGCTATGATTAAGTGCAAGTGTTGTTGTCATTGATGATGATGTTAATAATGTTGTCGCTGTCGCTGTCGCTGTCGCTGTCGCTGTCGCTGTCGTTGTGGTTGTTGTTGTTGTTGTTGTTGTTGTTGTTATTATTGTTGTTGTCGTTGTCGTTGCTGTTGTTGCTGTTGCTGTTGCTGTTTGTTGCTGTTGTTGGAATCCTTTGTTCATGCCTTCCCCTTCAGACGCCCTGCTTTTCTTGAGCCGACGACGGCCTACAGCTCCGCCTCGGCCATCCGAGACACAAGCAGGGGATGCTCGCAGGAGCCGGAAGATCATGATCAAGCTTGGCAGCTGCGCGCGCAGGTCAAGCCTTCAATTCCTAAGGCCCCTTAGGGGCTTTCTAGAAGCCTCTGAAGAAACCCCACAGGTAGTTGACATGGCTTGGTGCAGTTTCTCATTTGTTGTTTCTTGTTGCTTCTCGGTTTTCTCCCTCTCTCATTCTGGTCCGGCCTGTGCTATCCCAGACCCAAGAGTAACCTAGGAATAAATGGCTGCCCTTTTTGGTTTAAACGGGCTTATGAGGGAACTTATACCCTAGAAAAAAGGTCCTAGGTCCATGGATGTTTCACTACATATACCATGGAGCAATGTAGCCCACTCAGTCTGGCCCAGAATTGTCTGGGACCTGTCCCTCTCACACTACTCCTGTTTAGCTGTTTAAGCCGACATAGAAACGTGCGGCCAGCATCTCCCCCCTGCACGTGCAGCGCAGCCACCCCACGAATCATGGCTCGGCCAGGTTCGAGGTCAGAGCAGCAAGGCAGCCAAGGGAAGGCCTTTGCTTTTTCAACTCTGGAATGGGTGTTCCCGAGCGAGCTGCATTTACATGTTCGAAGTGCTTTGGAGGTTCGGGTCAGCTAGAACAAACGTTTAGCTGTCAACTGCACTTGCTTGAATTGTTGCGGCTGCAAACCCTGCCTATGGCAGTAGCAGCTGCTGGCTAGGACAAGATGACAAGCAGTGTTGGGAATCTTGTGCCGGAGTTGATAATTCAATTCCAGGAATGACTGCTTCATGGCTTTGGGGCCTTCTCTTCGAGGCTACCTGAGACTCTAAGTCTCTAAGTGATTCCAGAATGTTTGCTTCCAAACTCCAAGCTCATCCAAAAGGACATCCAACAGGACAGAGGTCACAGGAATTACCTGCAGCACTGCCATCACTGTATGTCCATCAGGGCATCTAGCTAGGAATTTCTACAGGTTGGACAGGGCGATCTTGGGTCTAAAGCTCTTCGCCCTCAGATCATTACCGCCGTTCAGAGTTTAGAGCTTTGCGTCTAGGACCTTGACCGGCTAAAGCAAAAAGCAGGTTGGCTTTCGTCGGCTGCCAAGTGCTCACGCGCTGTCTTGGTTGCGAGCGGCTTGCTCTGCAATCTGGGCCCGTTGGACAAGGGCGTTGCGGTTTAGGGTTTAGGGTTTAGGGTTTAGGGTTTAGGGTTTAGGGTTTAGGGTTTAGGGTTTCGGGTTTCGGGTTTCGGGTTTCGGGTTTAGGGTTTAGGACTAGTTTGATGCCTGTCCTGTGCTGCAGCTTTGCAAACATGGCCTGCTGAAAATGGCTTCAGGGAGATGCTCAGACGGTAACAGTTCTGAGTGCCACTATGAACTGTAGGCTCCGGAAGCTTCAAATCCAAGATGATCTGCAAAAACTCGAAACCCTAGAGATCCAACGCACGCGTACTCTGAACAAATAATATGCTCCTGGGGATGCACATTACGCCCCCATTCAGAGTGCCACGCCCGACTGCAGGGCCAAGCGAAGCAAGCAGAAATCTGACGTTGATGCCTTGTCAGCCATCACAGCAACAGCGGCAACGTCAAGCTTAAATCGCCCACTGTCGTCTACAGTCGACTCAACTTGCAGTTGCGAGCTGGTCGCACGCTCCAAGGGATTTAAGACTCGTATTTGTATAAGGTTGTACCCCTCAAGGACTTTCCCCCCTTGGAAATTTCCGAAGGTGGCGCTGATGTTCCCCTTTCGGGGTCCCCGAACCCAGGGGGTATGACCAAGGTTTGAATCCCATGACTCTTCGGAGAGGCTGGGAATCCAACTTGTCAACATGCTCACTAGGGTGCTTCCGGGGTTTGGGTGTTTAGGGTTTAGGGTTTGGGGTTTGCTTCCCCAATGTGCCGAAGCTTGAACCTCGATCACAGCCTTGGTAGCACTCCAAACACAAACCTTTTCAGCTCTGAGCAGCCCCAAGATAACCCTAAACCCTAA